AACCCGTTCCCTTTGTGCTGGATGAACGAACGTCTCTCCTCATGCTCAGTTCTGAGAGATTCGTGTGTGTGAAAGCCGTCCTTCACCTAGCGTGAAGGGAACACAAAGTTTCTATTCAGTTGCCAACTCCCCTCTAACATATTTATGGGGATGTACAAACTCCAACTCGCTTTTACAGTGAAAACGGCACGCACTTCAAACCGGCACTAGGAAACAGACTGAGAAACCAGATTAAGTGTTTCCTCTTCTAACCGTTCCATTTTTGCTGGATTAACGAACGTCTCTCCACATGTTCAGTTCTGAGAGTTAATTGTGTGTGAAAGCCGTTCTTCACCTAGCTTCAAGGGAACACAAAGTTTGTTTTCAGTTGCAAACACCACTACATACATATATATGGTGAAGTACAAGCTCCAACTTGGCTTTAAAGTGAAAAATGCAGGAACTTCAAACCGGCACTAGGAAACAGAGTGAGAAACCTGAGTAAGTTTTTTCTGCAACCCTTTCCCTTTGTGCTGGATGAAGAAAAGTCTCTCCAAACGCTCATTTCTGAAATATTATTGTTTGATAGCCGTCCTTCACCTCGCTTGTAGGGATCACAAAGTTTCTTTTCGTTTGCAAACTCCTCTACATACATTTATATGGGGAGGTATATGCTCTATCTCGGTTTTACAGTGAAATCTGCAGAACTTGAAACTGGCACTAGGAAGCAGACTGAGAAACCAGAGTAAATGTTTCCCCTGCAACCATTTCCCTTTCTGCTGGATGAACGATCGTCTCTCCACTTGCTCAGTTCTGAGAGATAAGTGTGTGTGAAAGCTATCCTTCACCTAGCTTGAAGGGAACACAAAGTTTCTTTTCAGTTGCAAACTCCACTCCATACATATATATGGGGAGGTACAAGCTCTAACTCGGTTTTTCAGTGAAAACGGCAGGAATTTCATACCGGCACCCGGAAACTGACTGAGAAACCAGAGTAAGTGTTTCTGCTGCATCCAGTTCCCTTTGTGCTAGATGAACGAACGTCCCTCCTCATGTTCAATTTTATGTTTTTTTATGTAATATTTTCCTTTCACTTATCTTGTTTAGACATCAAAATTCTTTTCATTGGCAAACTACACTACATTCTTATATACGGGTTAATTCTAGCTCCAAGAATATTTTATGTCGATAACTGCATGAAATTCTACTCGGCACTTGGAAACAGACTTAGTATCCTGAGTCAGTTTTTCTTCTGCAACCCGTTCCCTTTGTGCTACATGAACGAACTTCTCACTGCATGAGTAGCTCAGAAAGATAATTTGTGTGAAAGCCATCCTGCACCTGCTTCTTGGGAACACAGTTTCTTTTCAATGGGATATACACTGCATGTATATATATGGAGAGTTTCTATCTCCAATACCAGTTTACTGTGAAAACTGCATGAACTGCAACCTGACTCTAGAATACCGATTGAGAACGCTGAGTAAAGATTCCTACTGCACACCATCTCATTTATGCTAAATGAACGAATGGCTGTCCACAATCTCAGTTCTAATAGGTAAGTTTTTTGTGAAAGCCATTTTTCAGGTTTCTTGTTGGGAACAGTAAGTTTCATTTCTGTTTGGATAAACACTACATTCTTTTATAAGGTTTGGTGGTATCTCCAACTTTAATTTAAAATGAAAACTGCATGAACTTCTAGCCAGCATTACGAAACATACTGAGAAAAGAGAGTAAGTGTTTCAACTGCAAAACTTTCCCATTATATTTGATGGTTGATCGCCTCTCCTCAGGCTCAATTTTGAGAGATAAGTGTGCATCTAAGTGGTCTTTCACCTATCTTCTTGAGAACATAAAATTTCTTTTCAGTTGGGAAAACAGTACATACATATATATGGGGACGTTCTTTCACCAACACGGTATTACAGGGAATACTGCATGAAATTCAAACCGACGCTAGGAAGCATACTTTAAAACCAGAGTAATAGTTTCTACTGCAACCCACTAACTTTATACTAGATGAACGAACTTCTCTCCACATGCTCAGATCTGAGAAATAAGTGTGTTGAAAGCCGTCATTCCCGTAGCTTGTTGGGAACACTATGTTTCTTTTCAGTTGGAAACAACACTATTTACATATATTTGGGGCGGTAGTAGTTCCAACTCGGTTTTACAGTGAAAACTGCATGGACTTCAAACCGGCAGTTGAAAACATACCGAGAAACCCGAGTACATGTTTCTACAACCCATTCCCTTAATGCTAATGATCGAACATCTCTTCACATTCTCAATTCTTACATTTAAATGAGTATGAAATTTGTCAATCACATAGCTTTTTGGGAACACACAGTTTCTTTTCTGTGCAAAACTGTGTGAAATTAATATATTTTGGGAGGTTCAAGCTCCAACTCGGTTTTTCTGTGTGAAGTGCATGAATCTCCAACCGGCCCTAGGAAAACATACTGAGAATCCAGAACAAGTGTTTCTACTGCAACCCATTCCCTGCATGCTAGATGAACAAACATCTCTCCACTTGCACAATTCTGAGAGTTAAGTGTGTGTGAAAGTCTTCTGTCAGCTAGTTTGTTGGGAACACATTTTTTTATGAGTGGGTAAATTCACTACATTTGTAGAAATGTGGAGGTACTACTTCCAACTCGGATTTACAATGAAAACTGCATGAACTTCAAACCAGCACTAGGAAACATACTGAGAATCCAGTGTAGGTGTTTCTACTGGAAACCATTACCTTTATGCTAGACAAACGAATCTCTCTCCACATTCTCAATACTCAGAACTGAATGAGTGTTGAAGCCATCCTTTACCTACCTTGTTGGAAACCCAGAGTTTCAGTCCAATGGAAACTACGCTTCTTTCATATATATAGGGAGTTACTAGCACGGAGTTTGTTTTACACTGCAAACCACTTTTATTTGAAACCGGCTTTGAGAAACATGCTGACAACTCAGAGAATTTGTTTCTGTATATCACTTAACCTTCAATGCTGGATGAAAAAACGCCTCTCCACAGGCTTACTTCTGACATCTGAATTTGTTTTGGAGACTTCCTTCACCTAACTTGTTGGAAAACCAGAGTTTCTGTTATAGGGGAACTGCACTGGTTACATATCTAAGGGAGGAACTTGCTTCAACGTGTTTTTCACACTAAATCGCTTTTACATTGAAAACGGCATTAGGAAACATGTTGAAATTTTAGAGAGTGTGTGTCTATATTACCTCTGCATTTTATGCTGCATGAAGGAACTCCTCTGAACATGCTCAATTTTCATAACTGTATGAGTGTGGAAGCCATAATTCACCTAGCTTGTTGGAAACCCATAGTTTCAGCCCAATATAAACTATGCTGTTTCCATATATATCGGGACGTACTAGTACGAACTCGATTTTACACTGCAAACTGCCTTTACTTGAAAGCGGCTATGACAATCATGCTGAGAAATCAGAGTAACTGTTTCTGTATGTCCCTTCAATGCTGGATGAAGGAATGCCACTCCATAAGTTCACGTCGGATATCTAAATGTGTTTTGAAGCCGTTCTTCAAATAACTTGTTGGAAACGCATAGTTTCTGGTATAGAGGAATTAAGCTGCTTACATATCTGATGGGAGGCACATGCTCCAACTTGGTTTTCCACAGCAAATCGGTTTTACATTGAAAACGGTGGTAGGAAACCTGCTGAGAAGTCAGAGGGTGTGTGTGAAGAATACCTCTGCATTTTATGCTGCATGAAAGAACGTATCTCCACATGCTCAATTTTCAGAGCTGTATGATTTTTGAAGCCATACTTCACCTAGGTTGTTGGAAACCCTGAGTTTCAGTTAAGGTAAACTAAGCTACTTTCATATATATA